TATTATAGAAATATACATGGGAGATAAAATTAGAATGTAAATATTTTAACGTGTATTTAATTATACATAATAAGATTTGATAATTAATAATTTTTAAGTAACAATCATATTATTAAATTACTGTATTTTATAATATAACATAACATTTTAAAAACATCTCACACATAATATCTTTTATTTTATATTTTTAAGACGCATATAAAAAATTAATTATATAATATTATAAAATATAGGGTCCCAAGTTCCAACCGGGAGATCTTCCATCTTTAATGGGGGACCACCACGTGTGAGGTGGTGCAGGTTAAGAGGATTGGCGATTGGTTAATGTGGATGCGAGACGATAGCGTTTTATAGTCAACGCAAACAGATGAAACGTGATTTGACTGAGACATTGGCAGAGAAGATACGTCTCTCCGTATCAGATTGCCAATTTTCTACCCTCTATTGGTTCATTACTCCATGGTCGTGTGATGCATCCATTGATACTGCAAAATACATAACACAAGTCGTGAAAATATTTTATTAAAAATATATTAATATATTTTAATAAAAAGATTAATTTTATTTTTTAGTTATATACTCAGCAATGTTTAAAATACAAATAAAATTTTAACCTTTTAATATATATCAAAGATACATGATAAAATTATAAATATAATAATGTTTTATTAAAAATTACATAATTTAATTTCTTAATAAAAAATTATTCATTAGTGTTCAATACACATTAAAAAATCGAAAACAAAAGATAGACACCATCCATTCTTTTTTGGTGCGTGTGTAGTCCTTAAGTTTATACTAAAACGTATTTAAAATGACAATAAACGAAAAGACATGGATTTGGACCCATTAAATTATTGAAAACAATAATGTATCGAATCCTCTCATTAGGATGCATACCCATTCACACGCCAATAAAAGGTTTCCATATACGCAAAATAAATAAAAATTTTGTCTTAAACTAATGGTTTCATGAACTTCAATAAATTAAACGAGAGAGTTTTACCTCTTTCTCCTAGAAAAGCCAGCCAAAGATTTAGCACATGCTTTAAAACGTTTATTTCTTATGAAATCATTATTTTAAAAATCTATATTAAGAGAATGACAATAAAAAAATTAATTATTATTTTTTAAATTATTAACTTGAGCCTATAGTTATGTTTTTCTTTCCTTTTTAAAGAAAGAAAACCCAGAAATAAAATAAGTTGTCTCATTTTGAAGTTAAGACATGATATGTGTTTCAATAAATTATAACTTAAGCAAGTGGGCTTTATTATATCGCCAATGACGAAATTTTTAAGAAAATAGTATAAATAAAATTAAGGTTTACAAGAAAAAAAAACTATTTTAACAAATAATTTATAACAGGTGTGCTATATATATATGTGTGTAGATAACTTTATTATGTTTTGATTTAAATTCATATGCTTAAATTGTTATTAAAATAAAACTGGGGTTCTTATATTTTGTGTTCAATATAAATTTAGAGAATTAATAAAATTTTTAAAAATTTATCTTCAAATTAAAAAAAGTAATTAGATATTTAAAATAAATTAAATCAAACAAATATTAATTGTTAAAGTTTATAAGTTACAGTATTTGATTAATTATCTCTGTAAAGTTGAGTTGGAATAAAATTTAAGATACTGTCCGTAATTAAGTTTGTTTGAACTTAGCAGTTAGCAATATAAAAACACTTTCACATATCAATGGTTCCACATGGTATATATTTACTTCTATTAACATAAAATTTATTTAACAAAATTAAATTATTACTATACATATTGTCGTCTATGAATCTGCATAAGAACATAATGTACCTCACCAAAAAATAATGTTATTTGTATGAAAAACAGACACAATATTTGTACATCATACTGTTTAGTATATATAATGTATCGTATTAATAACATAAAACCACAGTATTTGTATTTACATCTTAATTTTGTTAACAAATTATGCACTAGCATTTAATGTTTTTTCATTAGTAGATGGCATTTTCATTATTTGTAGTGTAGCTCACTAACTTCATTGGATGATTTCAATTAACTTATAGAAACTAGCATGATTGGTAAAAAATTATACATTAAATTATGGTTTACTAATTATCTTTTCTTGTTTTTCATTTGTTTAGTTTATTTAATTTTAAAAAGATTACTTATTTTTCACACGTACGTTGAATTTATTGAGTTTTGAAGGCTTTGACATAGAGATAGATTCAGAAAGTAATTAAACAAGACACGTGTGAATTACAAGATACTTGACCCCTCTAAAATTAAACTATCATTGCACGTGTTTATATTTTGTTTGGATAAACAGTGAAATGGTTGGATAGAAAAAAAAAAACAAAAAAAGAAGAAGTGAAAAGAAGTAACACTGAATAGTTCAAAATTTTCGACAAAATTATATGAAAATGTTTTCGTTTGATTTACGTAAGAAAAAAAATATATAAACAAAAAATTAATTTTTTTATTTTAATTTTTATTATAAAATATTTTTTATATTATATAGTTTTTATTAAAATTACAGAGAAAAAAAAACCTTCCCAACCTCTTCCATTTCTGCTACTAAGGGTAATTTTTTGCAATGAATTCTCGCCTCTCTCTCTTTATCAACAAACAATAAAAATATAAGAATTGTTTTTTAAATCTAAGGAAAAAAAATTACTTCATGTTAAATAAATAATTCTTACTGATATAAACGCAATTGATCATCTTTAAAAAATATTTTTTATTTTTTAAGGATTTATATGAGAAATAGTAATAAATTATATTTAATTACTTTTTACAAAATTTAAAAATAAAATTAAAAAACGTAATAAATTTATATTAATAATAAAATTTTTAAATGGCTGATAAAATTCAAACGGTCCCTGCTATTTTCATCTTTTAAATACTCACTTACTCAAAATTATAATATCAAAAACATGCTAGTAAAATTCATGGTTTCATCAGTAACCTATTTGAATAAAACAAAAATTAAAGTATATGCAAATTGAATCAAAAATTGCGCATTGAAATGAATACAAACAAAAACTATATCAACATTGAAGCTATTATTTGTAACGGTCACTTGTTCATTATTTTATTTATTTTTTACAATATAATGTTACTTAAAGTTGTTGACATAATTGGATGTACTTGTATGTATTATTAAGTAAATTTCATGTAGCATCAATATCGATTTCATTTTTTATCTGACTTTTATATAAATTCCACTAAATAATTTGAAAACAGTGTGTTAAAAAAAAAAGTATATTTGAAGTCTTCAAAAATGTATCACAATTTAATTTTAGTCCTTACAAAATAATTTTTTATTTTAATTTCTATATTTTTAAAATTATCAACTTTATTTTTTAGTGATTATTGAATGATGTTGTGAAAAAATAATTAGTTATCACATGATGATTTTATGTTACTTGGATTCTTTTTAATAAAATCACATAAACGATAATATATTTTTTTAAATATAAAAATAAAAAAAATCCGCAAAAATAAAAATTTAGAATTTAAACAGGTGGCTTGATGATTAATTCAAATAACATTAATCACTGCATTACAATTGTATATTTACTTCATTCTCTTTTGTTTGACATTTTAATATATTTTAAAAAATATATCCTTAATTAATTAATGCATGAATTTTAAAAGAATAATAAAAAAGATAATCAATATAACAATTAATGAGTAATTATTATAATTATTTTTAAACATTTAAAATTAAATTTTAAAAAATTGGTTAACAATCTAATTTTTAATTTATGTCACAGCTTTAAATAATAAATAAAAAACATGAGTCATAATAGAATTTTTATCATTGTGTAATTAAAAGAATATCAATAACATTTTAAAAATGTCTGTTTGAAAAGATTAATAAATAATTTATAAAATATATCATCTTAATTTAATCTATCTTAAAAAACTTAAAACACATCATTATTATGATATCTTTTTTATTTTAAATGCATTATTTTATTATATATTTCATTCTTATTTTTATCAATTTAAATAATATTTTATTTTTTAAATTTTTATTTTATTTTTTTAATTCTACTGTCCAAACAAAACTACATTTGTTTTGTTTTTTAAACTTGATTGTTTACCTTTATTTTTTAAAATAATTATTTTTATTTCTATTTTTTAATAAAATATATTTAATTTTTTTTGAAATTATTTTTTATTTTTTAAATTAGAACAAAATTTATTTATACTGATATAAATTTAATTTTTACATTTAATTTAAGCTTTTAATTTAATTTATGTCAAACAGTCAAGTAAAATAATAAATTATAATATATTATATATAAGTTAAATGAAAAGTTAATATTAAGTATAAAAAATTTTGGACTTACATTAATATAACATATTTTTTTCTCTTAGATTTATTTAGAGAAATATACAAAATAATTATTAAAGAAATTTAAAATTAAATACACTTTAAAACTGACTTGATTAATTAGTAAATCTAAGGTTAACCTTCACGTAATCAAGTGAGTTAAAAACTGCAATAAACAAATTATAAACATTAATTTAATATAAAAATTATAATCAATAACATTAAAATGTTTAAAATTGAAAATTATTTAAATCAAAATTTAAACACGGTGAGAGTTGAAGTTCGTAATGAATTCTTATGAAGAAATTAACAAATTACTTGGCGAGTTAAACAGGCTCACGTACCAATTTAGTATATTAATTACGTTTTTCCTTTTTTAATCACCTTTGTATAGCCACTTGACCACTGAATAATATACTAATTACCCTTCTATGGCACAATCCTCAAGTCCAAATCAAGAGAAAAAGAAAAAGAAAAAAAACTCAACTAAGCCGATAGTTTCCTTCAACAAGACGGTGACCTTCACGAAGAGAAAGAAAGAGCAAGGAAAATATCTACCCCTTTTGCAATATCGGTGACCGGTAACCGGACCAACCAGTCCGCACCATGAGAGAGAAAATGTTTATATATTCCTTCCCTCTTAAAACGGGTCTCAAAGTGAAACAAAGTGCTTCTTCACACTTCTCATCTCTCTCTCTCTCTCTCTTCAATGGAATCCAATAGTCGGCGACGCTTTCACTCTCTCCGGCGACGATGAACTCATCGCCGGGGGAATGAGTTCGTGTTGCTTCCTTCTCAGTCCGCGTTCCGTGAGTTTCTTCCTCTAACTACTCCGTTTTCCCGTCGCCGGAAAACTTAGCCGGCGTTCTCATACAAACTGAGCGAACTCGTTATTCTCTTTTCTACGTTATTTTTCTACTTCTATATTTTTCTAGAAACTTCGTCAACTTTTTTTCTTACATTACCTCTTTTGTTCGGTTGTTTCCGATCGGATCCATTTTCGCCGTCGGAAACAGAGTCGCCGGCGAGTTTAAAGCGAAGTTAGTTGAATAAGCTATAGTTAACGTTGGTAAACATCTAAAACTATAAATAGAATAGAAGAATTTAAGAGTTAAGTTTAGTTGAACATAAGAGCGCTATGTTAGATCTTAATCTCAATGCGGAGTCGACCGATTCGACTCAGAACGGCGGCTCGCCGTTTCTGTTGAAGAACTTTCCAGAAGGTTCGTGGAATCAAATGGCGGAGTCAGGGACCTCGAATTCCTCCGTCGTCAATGCGGACGGGTCTAGTAACGGTGGAGGCGACGAGGACTCGTGCTCTACACGCGCTGATGACGTGTTCACCTTCAATTTCAATATTCTTAAAGTGGAAGGGGGGAACGACGTTGTAACGAAGGAACTGTTCCCGGTGAGTGGAGGAGTTAAAGGAAGAGATGAAGGTGGGTCCGGGAATTGGCAGGGGAAAGCTACGACGTCGTTTCCGACGAGGAATGGCCTCGCGGATCTTTCGTTTGATCGCGAGGTGAAGATGGTTCAGCCTCAGCCTCAGCAACCAGCCAAGAAGAGTAGGAGGGGACCAAGGTCTCGGAGCTCGCAATACAGAGGGGTTACCTTTTACAGGCGGACCGGAAGATGGGAATCGCATATCTGGTTCGTGATTTTTGTAGCAATATGAAGTTATTTTTGGTTTTGCTTTTGTTGCGTTTTACCTTTCAGGTCTTTCGGTTGCTTTGGTTGATTATTACTGGGAAGGGAATATGTGTTTGTATGAATTTTATTTTTGGTAATAACTTGGTTGAATTGCATCTGACTTTTGTTTTTGGTCGTATTTTTGTAATTATTTGGTGTAGGGATTGCGGGAAACAAGTCTATTTGGGTATGAATTTTTAATTTATGAATTTCAGTTTTTCTTTTGGGGTACATAGTTTCAATACTATTTTAAAGCATGTTATATGGATTACTATTTTAAGCATCTTTTGACGAAATTGGTATTTGTGCTTGTAGGTGGATTTGACACAGCTCATGCTGCTGCTAGGTAGAATTTTTCCCAAGTTTTTGTTTTCTTTGTCGAAATTTTGACTTTATGAACTGGTCCGTTGTTTTGATTTTTGAGGATTTGATTCTTGTGCTTCTTGATTGACTTGGAATTTTTTTGTTTAGAGCCTATGATCGAGCTGCTATTAAATTCAGGGGTGTTGATGCTGACATCAATTTCAATCTAAGTGATTACGAGGATGATCTTAAACAGGTTAGGAAACTCGAGCACTTGGTGAACATGAAACTAGAAGGTGTATAGGATTTGATTTTCACGGTTATCTTATTGATGGGCAGATGAAGAATTTATCCAAGGAGGAATTTGTGCATATACTCCGCCGCCAAAGTACTGGTTTCTCTAGAGGAAGTTCTAAATACCGTGGAGTAACGCTCCACAAATGTGGTCGGTGGGAAGCTCGAATGGGACAATTCCTTGGCAAAAAGTGAGGACCTATTTTTGTTTCGACTGAAGTAGTTATAAACTATGCGTATTATATATTATGAATTCATGTACATATTGGCCTGCAAAGCGAATTAATTGGTTTCAGCTTAGTTCTCAATGCATCTTTGCTATGCCTTTTTCGTGTTAGAAACATGTCTAAGAAAATAAGATGCATGTTTTCACAGAAACGATTGGCAAAGGTATTTTGGTTATAGAGATTGCAATGATTTCATGCAGGTATATATATCTTGGGTTATTCGACAGCGAAGTAGAAGCTGCAAGGTCCTAATGATACATGAATTACATTTCTACCTGCTCTTAATTTATTACCCTGAATTATCAAGCTCATTAGGGTTCCATCCAACACGTATCTCCCTTTTGATTTTCTGGAAATCAGGGCTTATGACAAGGCAGCTATCAAATGCAATGGAAGGGAAGCAGTGACTAACTTTGAGCCTAGTACATACGAAGGAGAGATGAAGTCTGCAGTCATTAATGAAGGTAATACTTCATAGCAAAGATCATTTTTTATTTTTGATTTCCAAATGATTTTCAGAATAAAAAAAGTTCCCTCTTGGAAATCTGGTTTATATTATTTTCAACGCAGGTGGCAGTCAGAATCTTGATCTCAATTTGGGCATAGCAACTCCAGGACCTGTTCCCAAAGAAAATTGGGGGCAACCTCAGTTCCCCTCCGTCCCTTACAACATGCACGGTGGAAGATATTCTAGGGTATAATTGTACTTTGCATTTTCTTTTATTTTAGGTTTCTTCTAAATTATGCAGAACGAAGGTTGATGGCACTCTTGATGCTCTCAAGATAGTTCAGTAAAACTCTGCATATCGTATAATGATTGTTGAGGATATATTTATCTAGAAGCAGAGCTTTTGTAGCCCTTTTTTGTTCACTTGTAGCCAATTACAACCTGTTTTCCTTTGATGTCATTGATTTTTTATATAGATTTGGTCTTTGGTATTGTTTTTGTTAAATCTGAAATGTTGTACTGTGTGTTGATAATTGATTGGGTTCTCTCTTTATTTGCAGATGGAAACCAATGTTAATTCAGGAATAGGTAATCCATTTCTGAAAAGGCTGGTTGTAACTGAAGAGCGTCCTTCTGTATGGAATGGCATGTATCCTAGTTTCTTTCCCAACGAGGTAATCCATCTGGAGTTGATTACTTGTTTCTTTATCGAGTAACTCATTTAAAGCCTTGACAATTATTTCCTTGTTAGTGTCTTCATTAGAACACTGAAGAATGCTTGACTTTAAATGTGATATTTAACAGCAAAATTTGATTTTTATGTTCATGGAGTTACTAATAAGTTTATATGAGCTTTTGGTGCAATTTTTGTAGTGAAGTGATTGTTGGTATTATGTTATATATTTGATATTTGTTCCATGTCATTCAATATTTTAAGAAATGAGTTGGTGCAAATTGTGTTTCAAAAGCATTATTTGGAATGATCAGTCCATGAATACATCATGATAATGCATATATATATATATATATATCATATTCAATGCAATGGTCATATATTAATAATAAGATGAATATGGAGTATGGCTAGAGTTTGAAAGCAAAGCATATCACGGCATTGTGATAACATTTGCACTGAACGTTCCACTACCATTTTATTTTTGTTGCCTATCTAGAGGTTCTGAGTGACGCAACATCGAGCATTGAGCTTTTGAGTGTAAACAATTATATGATGGCATTTTTGCTTGTATGTGAAAATCTCTTTAAGACTGTAAAAGATTATTAATATTTTTAGCAGGAAAGAGCAGAGAGAATCGGCATTGATCCTTCAAAAGGACTTCCCAATTGGGCGTGGCAAACACATGGCCAAGTCACTGCTAGCCCATTATCACCGTTCTCTGCTGCAGCATCATCAGGATTCTCAAATTCAGCTACCTTTCCATCGACTACCATGTTTCCAACAGGATCTATGAACTCAATTGGGCAGAGTCTCTGTTTTACTTCATCCAGCTCACCTAGCAGCAATGCATCTCAAAATTATTACCACGTTAAGCCCCCACAGGGACCACCCTAGCTGATCTTGTACTACAGATTAAAGGCAAACCATAAGAAGTGTTTGCTTTCAGAATTCTTTGTATAATTCAGTCACTGATTGGTGTATACTTGGATTTGACACCTGATTGATACCTTTGCTTAAACCGTTATGCCCCGTGTTTGGATAAATCATCTTTGAAGGAATGCTATTCTTTGGGTGCACTAGTACTACGATGTGCTATTTTCCTCAAATTTTTTGACAGTCAAAATTCATGGTATATGCTCACCAATCTTGAGATTTTAGGTCCTGATAATTATGGGAGGAAAAAAAAAAGACCATTTCATTTTATATTTTTCCATTGTAGGACTCTAACTGATTTTTCTATATAAACCATCTTATTCTCTTTTGTTTAAGATTTGGTTGTAAAAAGCAATGCTTAATATTTTCCATGACATTTGGGATCCCTTCACCTAGTATCTGAACAAATAAGCAAAGAAGATTAATAGGATTACATCATTTGCTCCCGTTTCCCTAATAACGGTTAAATAAGTTTCTTTTGTCCGCAAGAACGAAAACACTATATTTTGATCAAGAAATGCTACGATTTTTTTTTTTTTTTTATATTTCCTTACCTTCAGAACTGTTTTGGCAATTATTTGTTATTAATTTGGACATAAAACACGCAATCACTATCTATATCTATTTATCATTCTTCATCTGTATCTCTTTTTTTTTTTCTATCGTGTCATATATCACCTCTCATAATTATTTTTCTCTCCTCTCTTTCTCTGTCTTTCTGCGTGTAAACACGTAAGGAGATGTATATGAACTATTTTTCTTTGGTTATTGGGTGATGGTGATACTTACCGACCCGTCATATCAAAATGAAAAGAAGAAAGTATAGAAAATTGAACTCTGATGATTAGTGAGCCACCCCATAACTTGGTAGCAATGGGGATCGGCCTCGTCCAATGACAACGTCAATGAGTGGCAAGTGTCACGTTACACTTGTCACGTTACTGAATTGGAAACAGAGCAGCTTCCTTCAAAGTTGATAACAATTAGATGAGCGCGGAGCAGGCCAAACCTATGGAATTGGAAGTAACTATTCACGTTCATATGGCATCCCTGTTTTCTTGTACCGTCAGAACAATGATCAATGAATGAGAAAGAGCCTGTCCTTTTGGGCCTGTGGGTAACAGGTGTTAAGGTGTTTGAGGAGAGGGGAATGTTAGGTTTCGACCCCGCAAGCCTGAGCTATGCCGAGGGAGGCTGGTCCATTAGGCGACTTGTCAGAATAGAGTTGTTGTGTGTTTATGAGGTGGGGGACCAACCCTTAATAATGTCTTCTTCCTCCACTCATGCCCCAGAGAAAAATAGACTTCCTTTTTAGCAATTTTCACAAAGAAACATACCTATCTAGCTCATTTTTCAGCTTCAAGTTACATTCTAGCGAGGGACATTAAACTCTATCCATTACTGTCCATCCCCAGTCCACGGTTTTGCATGTGACTATTTTTCTCATCTTAAGATATCACAGGAAAGCGACTTTAGTCTTAACTCTACACTGTACCGATTTCAAATGAGTATCAATAATATATTTTTTATACTAATTATTATAAAAATTAACGATTATTACTGTTATAATAATTTATTAATGGATAATACTGTAAAAAAAAAATTACACTATAGTTGTATTAACATTAAATTTTTATCAAATTATAATGAAAATCAATAGCTATTAAAAAATTATCTATTTCATTTCTTTAAATTATTCTCAACGCCAAAAGTGTGTGCGCCTACAAAAGATCAATGCAAACCTACCATTAATATGCTGTATGCAGAGTGAATTTCCTGATTTTTTTAATAAGGAGATGCATAATTTCTTTTAGGAGGAATATAAAAAGTTAACAAATAAAATATGATTCATGGTCATTCATATATGAATGGATATGTTCTCGTTGTGAGCATCTATCCAAATTGTGACCATATTCCACTATTCTCCCACTTCCTCGATCTCCATGCTCGCTGTTCTGGCTGCTGCTAACCTAAGCTAACAAATCATGTCATTTTCATGAATGGCAAATTCATTTTGCACCACAAGTTTATCTTGTTTTTAATCATTTAAGAAACCTTATTTAATAGTTGTGCATAGATTGTAATATTTGCTTAGATTCTTGTCATATCATCGTCTTCCATCCTCCTCTTTTATTGCCCGCAGTGTCGTAGAGTAGGAACTTTTTAGTGGGTGAGTTGCATTAAGAGTCAATCTTAATCAATTCCTCACATTATTTGCATATCATAAAATTATGTAATTTTCCCCCCGTCCAAGCTATTCACTTATGACTTTCAATACTGAGCTGAATAGGAAACAAACAAATGTAATGAACAGTTGTGTAAGAATAACCATAAGAAAGAAAAGTAGACATAAACATGATACGTCTTTGTTCGAATAATTTATTGCAAAAAGTATCTTTGGGAATTAAATTTTAAAGAAAAAAAGGACGAGAAGTGAATTTTTATTTTTAAAATAATAAATGATATAATATTTATAAAATTACTTAAAGATTAGTGTATTAAATTTATGTTGATTAATTATTTTATTTTAAAATTTTATCAACTTAGAAAATATTTATTAAAAATAAAAAAATTATCCTCTTTCTTTTCTTCTAAAATTCAACTCTCAAACATACTTTAAATATCTTCAATATTTCAATAGTTTTACTTTTTAAATTTATTCTTATTTAACAAAAAATAAAACTTTTTTTATAGTTTTTTTTTAAGATATCTAATTTTCACAATAATGATATTTTTATTTTATTTAAATTTATAAGTCTGAACAATGGAGTGAAGGCCCAATTGTCAAAAAAGATAAAGGACTTGGGAACTGTGGTGGCGATTGATTTTTGATCGACTGTCATAGCTACTTGGTGCTTGTCATTAATAATACTAATATTTTATTAAAAATTTATCATATTTTATACTTTAATATAATAAACATATTTTTAATAAAAAATAATAGTTTTGAAGGTTTAAATTAAAGGCAGAAGGGTGACATACCTGTATGATTATTCTTCACAAAAGTGTATCATATAAAAGATGTGGCTCCGAGGAAGACACAGCGATAAGGATGAAATAATATGGACCACTGATGGGTGGCAGTGTCTTTGTTTCCTCATATTTGTTTGTATGTAACTCATTCCTAAGCTTGTTCCCATTGACGGGGGACACTCACTTTGTACCATTTACCATTTGCCAAAGCAAACTCTGAGGACCCCCCAAAATACCCAATCCATTGCTGTGAAGAGGGGAGACAGTGTTTCAACCACCTTAGTGTATCTTTGTCCAAAAATACATTGAGCGTCTTTAAATATTCATAAACAAAGTGTAAAAATTATTAGGAGTATTTTGATTAAAAAATGTATATATTAACGAAAAACTTAAGATAAATTAAACTGTATTTCATTTTATTTTTTTAGGAGAGAGAATTATATAACTTTAAAATAAAAGGGAATGTAGTGTAATATATTATCTTTTAAGGGAAGAAAAAGTAATTTACTCTTATTTATTTAGGAAAATGATATATAGATTAAAGTATAATTAATAACTTCATATATTTAAATGGTTTAATTTTTATATGATTTTATTATTAATTAGTTTCATTTATATTAAGTGTGTAAAGTATAATAATGCATTTCACTTGTAGTTTTTCATAAAAATAGTAAATATTAACCAACGTTCTTAATTTTTTTTTACTAAATAGTGTTTGTTATTAATGTGTTTTTTTTATAATTTCTAATACATTTTAAATGTAATTTTTAATAAAATTTATTATTAAGTTCTCAAAAGATTATCGGTGCCTTTTCTCTTTTCTTTTGTTTTTTTACTTTTCATGTGAATGCTTATAAGGATAAAAAAAAAATAGAATATACTTATAAAAAATAAAAAAAAATACAGAAGACTTCTTTCTCTTCTTTAAAACATTGATTAATGAGGCTTATAAAAAATATTATTTATTAATTTTTTAACTAGTATTCTAATAATATTAGTTAACAAATTTATAAAGTATTTAAAAATAAAATAGAGAGAATGATATACTTTAACAATATAACAATTACTTTTAAAATTTTTAAAATTATATATATATATATATATATATATATATATATTTATGGAGCACATAAATTAATTGTTAAAGAATTATTTTAGATGTTAAATACTAAAAAAAGTATTAACATCTATAATAATTTTACATAGTAATTTTATCTAACTAAAACAAAATATCTTCCAATAAAAAATATCTATAGTTTAAACATAAAAAAATATGATATATTGATAACCTTCCAGCAGACAAGGAAAATAATAATCATGATATTCTTGATAAATAAATTTTAAAAGATGAAATAGTTACTGTATCAACATTTTAAAAAATATTAATATTAATTTTTAAGATTAATTTTGAAATTCTAAAATGAATAAAGTTTCATTATAAATATTTATAATATTTATATTTTTAAAATTTTAATATAATAAATGTTTTAAATAAAGCTTTAATATTTCTAAACACTTCAAATTTATCTTAACAAATTTATTAAAATTACTTGATATTTTAAAGATTTGTTTTGAAGTTGAAAAATCTATTAATTTATAAAACTAAAATAATTGTAAGAAAAATAAATACATCAACTTGAACAAATTATGTGTGTTGTTTTTTTCGTGCGTGTTATTATTTCACTATATTTATATTATGATCTTGTTAGATTCCTTTACCATGAAAAATTGGGTGATGCATATATACATTACATACATGCACTCAAAAGCTTGAAATGTAGTTGAAACCTGATAGTGTATATTATATTCTCTTTCTTTTTCTATTTCCTTTTTTTGGTTGTTAAATATTTTCTCTATGCGTTACCATTCACCATAGTTTAGTGCTTTTAGCCCATTGCCAATTTGCCATCATTGTTGGTAGACATAAATTTCAATGGCTGATCTCTGGCAAAATGACATAGGAAATCTTGTGATGTGTAAGTGTATATTTGTTTAGAATTATTTTTTTAGCATAAAATTATTTGCTTTAATTGATTATTGTTTATTTTTAAAATGTTTGGTTTGATGAACATGCTTCATTAACTAAAATAATCTTATTTGTTAAAAGTAAAGAAATATAGAGATAAAAGTGTGGTTAAATTACTCTTTAAATTCTTCAAGTTTGAAAGAAAGGGATATCTCTACATCAAAAATAAAATGGAAAGAAAGGGATCTCTTATACTTTTAAAATAAATTAACACTTTAAGAATTTTTGTTAAGTTGTAAGAATTATTTTAAAATTTTACATGAATTACAATTTTTTTTTTTGACAAATAACACAATTAGATAGTTTCCTATATTTTAATCCAGTTTTCAAATAAACTCCAATAATTTAGTAGAAGTTAACGACTATTAGTATACAAGTTTAATTTTGATATGCAAAATATTTAACAAGCATTCCTTTTACTTTAATTTTCTTATCAACAACGTGAGCCTATAGTTTGTTTAATCTTAATTTATATGATTACTTTTTGGATGAAACTGCATTAAGTATTTTAAATTTTTACATCAAAATTCAAAATTTTAATTAAACTATCAATAGAAGTTAATTTGAGTGGTAAGCGACCTAGTATCATTTAAACAAGTTTCAAATTTAAATTTTTATATATATAAAAAATCTTAGGTAATATACTTTATTTTCAATTCTTTTGGTATTCCTAATTCATGAAGACATAATTTATGATTCTGTTTGAAGTGTTCATAGTCAAAATTCAATTTTCATTTTCCATCTCTTTCTTACTCATCAGTGGCGGAAGACCAAATTCAATCTCCAACTAAGTTACTCTTTTCTTAACATTTCTTTATTTCAATTCGAATTATTCATAAAATACATATCAATAAAATGAATATCAACGATTGACAACCTAAAGTTGTTTTTTTTTAGCTTTTTTATATAATATTTGATGAATTTAAATTACATTAAATATGTATACTAATAAATTTAGGAGGTTGATGAGAGAATTAACAAGGAAGCAATTGTTTCTAAGCTTTTTAAGTTAAGTTGGATTACATACAACTTGGCATCCATTCTTTGATTTCTTAAGATTAAATTCTCATATTGAGAACGATCGGTGGGAATCCTCTTAGTCCAAAATAAAAGGACATGGGATTATATTCAGCTTTTCCATTTGCTATGTTACAGAGAATTGGCTTGAAAAACTACTACTGCATTAGATGAAGTAGTAGTCATTTTGCTAATAATGTTTCTGTTTTGAGGAAAATGCCCAACTTTGAAGAATCATGTTATATTGATACTGCAAAATGCCCATTCTTTAAAATGCCCAACTTCACCAAAAAATTATGTCCCAATGATTTGATTGTGTTGTTGAAAAGGTCCGGCAGATACTGCAATTTGCAAATCTAAATTCTTGTTTCTCGGAGATGATTCAAAACAATATTTATATTGATATGTTTAAATAGTATTATTTTATTTTTTATCATTTTTTTTGCCACATTTTATTATTTATTATTATTTTTCTCTCTTACTCTATTTTCTTTTCACCTCATATACCCTAAAATGAGGTGTATAATTGTGTTTATTCATTTACATTATTAAATATCTTCTACTAAAATGTTATGACTTTTTTTATTTTTAAAATTTTAAAATCTTTCACTGAAAATTTCATGTGTCTTTTATCGCATTTACAATATTTTAAAAATATTTATAATGTATTATTTTACTTATTTTAATTAATTTCTTGTTTATTTTATTTTATTTGTTTCTTAACCCTTTTTTTCTTGTTATTAGATATTTAATATTTTTAATAATAAAATGCCTATTATAAATAAAAAAATAATACTATCAATAGTATAACTAGTGTATATAAATGGCTAAATATTCCTCATTAAGAACATCAAATGATGTTTTTCTTTTTAAATTTATTACTTTAATAAATTTTTATTTTCATTTATGGTTCTTAATTTTTTTATATTTTATATTTTTAATGATTAATTTAATATGAAGTACCACATCTAATGTTATTTATAAAAAATAAATACTTAATTTATCAAGATCATAAAAGTTAGTCATATATTTTATAAATACCCATAATAATAATTAATGTATTATATAGTAAATGAATGAATATATCTATTCATAAAGGTAAAGTATGAATATTTTATTAATACAAATCTCATAATATATAAGAGTATAATTTTTTAAAAATATTAATACATTTGAAAATAAATATTTGTTTTTTATACTTTGAACTATAAAATAGGAAGTAACAAATTCTTAAGTACTAAATAAATACTTTAATATTTTTAAAATAAATTTTAATATTTTTGTTAAATATATACTTCACATAAATAAAAAAATTAATCCTATAATGATATAATATAAATGAATAAATAAATAGCATTGACTGACATGAATTAGCATTCAAGTTATTGTGATACCATTAGACATATTTTTAAAAAGTTAACGAATTAGATTTTTTTTAATTTTATTTTATAATATTATGTTTTACAAATTTATTATTTATTCTCTCATTGAAACTTCGGGGCTTTTAAAGCGGTAATATCAGATTTTCTTTTGTTTTTGTCATTTTGAACACGCTGGTGATAACTGACAAGGATATGATCTTTTTATTAATGTTCTCTCGGAGACCCATTATGTAACCTAATCTTATTACATCGTTTCTTTCTTGAATGAATACATCATTGATTGAAACAATCATACAAGAGGTTTGCTACGTCAATTGCGTTTATAAAGAGTTGGACAAAGAAAATGGCACCATGTGAGATTCTCATCCCTTTTCCTTCTATTAATGGTTGGGATGGAGGGCCGCAAGATAGGGCAAGAGGTTTTTTATTGCCCATTTTGAATAGGCAACTTTTACACATGTGAACCTACGAACGGTGCTAAGCAATCTTGAAGAACATTGGCATGGCGAGGTTGAAGTGAGAGCATGGAGGATTGCACCACCCACCATTGTTGGAGTTGTGATGACATTTTAGGGTTTGTTTTATAAATGTCTATCCTATGCCACACTCATTTCCCTAATAGTTTTTAGCAACAAAATATCTCTCAAATACTTAGAACAAGTGTGTGACATTGCATTATTTCACTACATGAGGAATCATGTTAAAATCATAGCCTATGATTTATGAACGTTTTTACAACGTCGGGTTTATTTTTCTCATAAAATTAAGTGAAATTATGCCTCCAAGAAGAGAAAGCCTTAAAAATCTCATTTGCTAATATAAAATTTTAAGACAGGTAAATGCGTCGTATTACATGCTTTAATATTTTAAGACTTAAAAGCAAATAAAATTATTTAAAAAACCTTCAACAGCAAGTCTTACTAAAAAATGCGTCGTATTACATGCTCACATAAATGAACAACGTAACATAAAAATATTAAATATTAAATATATTAACCCCTACACGTTCAAAATTTTGTTCTTCTCAAAATACCAAAAGGGTATATCCTTTTTTTTTTTTCCAACAGGGATCGTCCTTTCTAAACAAGGGTGAGAGTTGCCTTTGACCATGAACAAACTTTTTGGGAAAATTAATATAATCTGACATTGTTGTTTTCGCGACAGGGTTTTTCCTTTTCCCTATTCCTGCGGTTGATTTATCGGCGGAGATTCTCCACGGCGATCCTCAGCAACTCGTTTTCCCAAGCCCTAGCTCCTAGGCTATTAAGTTGCCATTTTTTTCAACACTACTCTTATGCATAAAGGATCTCTTAAATAAATTTTATTATTTAAGGACGAAAACATAATAATGAAAAATTATACCTAGTGAATTTTTTTTAACATTTGATAAATATAAACGGGTGTGCCAGTACAGTCAATTTACGGGATGATGACGTTAGAATTTGTCAATTTCTTTGTAAGAACAGTCACAGATATTCTCTACCAAAATAATAATAATAATAATTCAACTGAGAATATCTATAGCATTCCACCCCTGACGCAATCGCTCTGGTAAACTTAACCAACCCCTCCATGAAATCTTAAATTACATTTTATTTCATTTTATTGCGACAGACAGCGCATGCAATTGTAGAGTGTTCTGAACTTACATTGGAGCTGCATGTGGCTGGTTAACACAAATTAAGTTGGCAGTTGCAGTCCCTGCCAATTGACATGATAAAATATCCAATCTTACCTAGAGTAAAGAAATTCTCAACCACACTATTGTAGCACTAACGCAACTACAGCGTTTAAAACTGAATTCTGAAACCTGATGCACTTCACCTCTCAGATTTAGTGAGTCCTATTATCCACACCAACATATCTATATGCTCTCATATGCAACAACCAAGTTGTGTGTATTTTCCCTCTATATTTTACATAAATTTAGTTTTGATTTCTATAAAAAAAAAATTAGTCCTTTAATCCCTATAATTTTTATTGAAGGTTTGATCTCAATAATATATCAGACATAGTCTTAATTGTTTGTTGAAAAATAGTGACATGTATCAATGGTAAGAACAAAAATAAAAAGGACAAGAATTATAAACTGAATTTTTAAAATATAAAAAAATAAAGTAAATTATATGAGCTAAAAATGCTTTTACACCAAATCTATGCAAAGAGAGAAGGGGGCATGGATACCATACTGAAGTTGCAATTCTATAGTGGCTTGGTCAAAACCATTCATTAATCTTAAAGCCTGTCGAGACAATCACGACAACCTTAGATTAATGAGAACTCTCACCACCAGAATATTACAGGAACAGGAACCTTTTAACGGATGCATAAACTATATCTTATTTAACAAACACGAAATCAGCCCTGCGCAATAATGTCCTCTGCATTATAATGTACATTTAAGATTTTCAGCTGCACCAGAAAATGCAAAATATTGACTGCTGATGGAACCATGAGCAAAGTAATTCATCCCGAGTCATGGGTTGGGTCGTCCCTGCTGGTTATATTAGTTTTGAGAAAACGGTATCAAAATCAGAAACAGCTAAATACACTAACCAAACAACGGGGAGCAAATAATATCGAGAAAAAACAATTCGTTCATTTAGAAGTAGCAGTGATCCATGACTAGATTAAGGGAGAACTCTGATCTAGCGATGAATATATATGACGGGATTACATGAAAAAAGCTTGCACAGAAAGAAAAGGCAAATTTAATATAACTAAAATCATTGACAAGGAAAAAAGGCCACAAACTCTGAAAGAGCGCAACAGTATTACACATCACATGGATCTTTCCAGTTAAAAAGCGATGTATTTAATTCCCAATATGATTTATCAAAGATGTAAATCTTGCTGTCATAATATATTCCCTTTTACCAGTCGGATCAAACCTTTATACTACCCACAAGGGTAGTTAAACTAAAAACGTTACAAACAATAAAAGCGATTGATCTACTTGATTTTGAATCAACACGTTTCCATGCTCTGTACTTTTGAAGGAAACACTCAACTAAGATCTACCTGCCAGTTTTATCACGTTAGCACTGACAGTTGATATCTCAAAAGCCCAACACAGCTCACTTCTGCCAATCCAGAACTACAAGAAAAAAAAGGGAAAATGAGTGCACAACTACAAAAGAGTAAATATCAAAGTCATTCTTGACATAACATAAAATCAAGTACAAAATGAATAACAAAAGTGTAATATACAATCTCGTTTTGGCATAAATAGGTGAAGACACTTTCATGAGCATGCATGATGTGCAATACATACGCCAATTAAATCATGAAAACAAAAAGGAAGTTTACTAATTACCAAATGCAGCCATAAATTACACTTCTTGGGAGCTTCATCATTAGGTAGGCCCAATAGACCAGTCAAGAATCCGTTCCGCAACACCAAAAATTGTCCATTTCTGCCAGGTTTTACCATTTCCAACAATAACAAGGACATCATAACAAGCAAAATATCACATCCCAAATGTTCTGTTGTAAAGATCCCCAGAATTTGGCATCCGATATTTTGAATCATCATATCCTGAGTAAAATTTATTAAACCCAAGTCTTTCATTTCTCAAAAGCTCGGCCACACCCAAACCATTCCCACTTTGCATCTCATTCCACCCATCCCATTGACCATTTGACAAGACTGCATTTGCAGATGGCTGCAGAGACAGCTGTGGGAATGGACCTAGATTACTTACTTGTGATTGATCTAACCTTGAAGAAACACCATAAGAATCACCAAGTTGAGAAAAATTATTCCCAATTTCAGGAAATCTAAGGTTTTGCTGCGGTGAGAGAGATCTTTGCATTAGTAATTGTAGTCTGGCATCATTTTCAAAGTAATTTAATTGTGGCATGAAATTTGATCGCATGTCCAGTGCTGGGCTGTTTAGTGCACCTTGAAGTCTCCCCTTGCCGACTGCCAAAATAGCAGGGTCCATAAATTCAATGTCCCCTGCACCACCAATATTTCCAGCTGAGGGTGTCTGATATGAATTTCTCAGCAGAGAAGAGTGGTCAACCAGTGAATTCCCTGTCAAAAGGTCTAATTAATAATTATTACCAGAATAAGGGCACATGTGCAAAAAAAAGAAATCATAACTAACCAGAAACGGAGTCAAAAGCCTGCTCCACCCTCTCATGGGAAGAGAAACCAGGTGGCGGTGGCCTGCTTGGAGCTGAAAATCCTGGCGGGGCTGAAACTTGTGCTCTTGAAATGGCTGTCAACCATAAAAAAAAACACAAGGTTGTCAGACCACATGAATGTAAAAATCTGATACAAACTGAGAATGATATAACACAAAAGCCAATGCATAAATTAGGCAGAGAGCAAATGAGTTGCCCAAAGTGTGCAGCCTTAATCATTGCTAAAACTTTTGGACTGTCTAACTTGGAAAGAGACAATCAACAGAAAGCAATCATTATGCTACTTCAATTAACCATAAATCATCACACAACTGAAAATAAATGTTCCACAATTAAATTTCTTACATATTATGTTCTTAACAAACTTTATTCAGTCAATACCATATTGGGGAGACAATTATTACCATTCTACACATACAATATTGAGACTTTTGACAGGAGCAAATCGGTTTCAAAGCTTCTGACCAGAGGTTTAGTATTTAGATACTTAGTTCTTATAAAGCCCCAGCATGGTTTTTTGATTTTGAAAACAGGGTTGACAATAAGCTGCCACAATCCAAGTTTACTCAATGAGCTCAGTTTGTCAAATGAGCTGCAGTCTGATTAAATTTTTGCAAACAAAATATATGAAATAAATTGAGTTAAAATTTAGAGCTTAACTTATTGCACTTTTTACACTAAATTAATATAAGGCTCAATATTGGCTTCATTGTGTTGGAGCAGACCCGATTGCAAGCCAAGAAAATGGACTCATTGCCTATAGCCTTTTCCAACCTTGTTGAAAAGACATGACAAACATACAATTTGTCTCTTTTTCACCCTTACACAAATGGAAGATCATTGAAGCACAACCATGGAATTAAACAGCATATGCAGCACAAAAATAATCAGGTTACAAAATCATACAGCAACAGGAATTGAGAAAACCATGGAAGGGACAAAAATTCAATTTTCAAAGCAACAAAGGAAAATAAGAAAGAAGTAAAAAGTGTCTCCGAAAAATTGTATTAATATCATACAGAAGAAATATTTAGATAACTGTTAATCGTCAAGCAATAGAAGCACAAAAGCAATAAGTGAAATCTGAAATTGATACATTAACACAGGAAACAATGTTAGGATTTGCAACTAGAAACAACATACCAAAGCTACAGTAGTTGGTTCAAGAAAGCAATTAATACTCACCAGAAAGCTTGTTAGAAGATGCAATGGAATGAGTATTTTCAGCTTCCTCAAAGTTATTGGTAGGATAGCCATTTGGAATACCCAACTTATCCATATACAAGTCTCTTTCTGTAAAATTCTGAATGACTGGATGGTTTGGCTGTTGCTGGCCGACACCATAAGGTGCATGTACATCAAAGGTGTGGAATTTGGATTCCTCCTGCCTAGCAAAAGAGAACCTTGATTGATTATTACTTTGAACTTTCCAAGAACTAGACTTTTTCAAAGGACCAGACTGGTTATGAGCATTGTCACCCAACAACTTAGCTAAATTATGAGGTGATGTTAGTGAGTCATCCCAGGAATCAAAGTCCATGGATAATATATTTGAAATGATACTACTTTCACCCTTATCCATAGAAGCATCACATCCAGTATGAACTGCTTCACCAACTAATCTCCCAATACTTTTCCCATTTCTTTCATCATGAAGTAAACCATAAGAGCTACCACTAAATTTCTCAGGGTAGCGATTAGATATTACTTTAGATGCATGTAACATAGATTCATCCTGCACTCGATCATCAAAAGATAGAGAACTTGCATTTACATTTATAGCAGTACAAGGTTCACCATGCTGCAGAAGACAAGGGTTTGACTGGTTTGATACATGAAGGAAACTGGTTGACTTTGGCAAATAAGACCGGCAAACAACTTCTGGATCCTTCAGTCTTTGATTATCAAAAGATGTTACATCGTCATCAATTTCAGCAGTGTCTGACACTACTAGAGATTGAGAATCCGATCTCCAATCACACTGTTCCCTTGAGTTACAAACCCCATTATCTGATGTAGCTTTACCAGCCACATTTGCCGTTACTGTATCTGTAAATCTGTCAACATTATGTTGTGGTCCTTGAATTTGAGGTGATTTAATCAAGACATAATCAGTAGGTGAGCTACTAGGTTTGGTTATACCATAATGTTCAGCATTTTTATCAATGTTAATTGAGGACAATTCAGTGGACAACTTCTGAATCTCTTCATTGGTAGCAGTCATTGCTTCCTCAGGACCAGAATTACAAGACTGTCCAGTAATGTTAGTAGAACTTATCGCGTCTGCAGTAGTACAACTGCCATCACTATCTCGGGACAATGGTAGAGAAGACAACTGAATGTTCAAATTCACAGGCACAGGGGAAGCATCAGAAGATGAAGTTTTTTCTCCTGCACTACCCAGACTGTCCATGCTATTGTTGTATTGTTTAACAGGTTTCAACAATTCACTTTTCACTCCAGGTATTATACTATGACTCCCATCACTCGACGGTGGCCTCTTTATAACATCAGAAGCCTGATTTGAGCCTGTAACAGCTGCAGAAAAGGCTAGTGTGCTGCTGACTGCATCATATTTTGGCTTGGATGGCCCATTTGCATATGATAGGCCTCCAGCAGGGGGCTGACAATTTGTAGTCTGAGTACCCCTGGCAAACATACATAAACATAGACAGCAACCTTTAGATAAGTTCAACTTCCATGGCCAAATACAAAATTATACATGGCACATACCATGCAGCACTAGCCGGTAGAGCAATATGTTTCCCATAGATTCCATTCGGAGGTGAACCTCTTACAGTGCTAACAGAGTTCTGTTTCATAATTAAAATGTCAGTTTCTTTGCATACAGCTGCTAAACTTCACTCAGTATAACAACTAAAGATCAAAATTTAAATGAACTCTCAACAATGATATGGGCAAAGCTGACACCCAAAATAAGTGGGATTATAGTAAATATTAAAATTAACACAATAAAAAGGTCTTACACTTGAAGCATTTTTCAAAATAGGCTTTGCAGAAGAATTACTCGTACTATCATCCATTGGCGGAGGTAATACATTCCCCGATCGGCGTTGCATATTGTTTGTGGCACCGGTGATTTGTTGAACTCGACTTCTTCAAAATAACAAACAGAGTTAAGATATAATTTACTTGATAAGCACTAAATTCAGTTCAAGCAATTACAAACGCAAGTGCAATCTGCAAAAGATTATAAATACTTAATTTTCGCAAAAATGGATTTTATTTAACTGAGTCCATTTATCAGAAAAGTACCTAGTGTATGCTGAAATTATTTCATCTTTTGTAAAACTATCTTCTTGAGAGCCAATCTCATGCAGATATAGACAATCAGGATTGCTGCAAGGCTGGTCATAAAGATCTCTCCTCAATTAAAAGTGAGATCAATTAAGGGCAACGTAAAAAATCTGTACAGACCCAGTAATTTCCATACCACATTTCGGAGCCATGCATGACAATATTTTGTGGTTCCAAAACAAGCCCTGAAATAATAAAATGAAAAACACAAACTATCAATAAGCAAGAGTACAACACTCAGAACCAAACATCCCATGCATAAAAAGTATCAATTAAAGCAAATATTTGTACCTTAAAGGTCTACCCTCCAAAACAAATCCATGTACATTTTGAATACAACGAATTGCTTCCTCTTCCTTAGAATAAGTTATATATCTGAAACAAAAACCTTTGATTGGGAACTAGTACTGATATTAATATTAATGTATCATAGAAAGATAATCAAACTGCTGATAAAAAAACAGGAAATAAAATGGAGAAAGGGGGATTCTAAGTTTTTAATTAAAGTGAATGAAAAGTACAGATATGGCCTTTTTGTGTTTCTCCTGATTCTTATTGAAGGAAAAAAATTGCATTTGACACAGTCTCTTTGTTTGCTAGGCATTTGCTTCCTTTCAGTGTCAAGAAATGTTCAATAATCCAAAGCTATACTAGCAATCCAATAAATATCAAATGACAACAAAGCAAAAAGTGAAGGATCCATTTACTATAGCAACCAATATGGCCAGGCTAATTGACAGAAGCCTATCATACCATTAAGTAAACAGCTAAACCACAAACATCAAGAGAATGTACTTACACACTACAAGTATCATTCGGAAACTGTTGAATGAACCCAGATGCAGTCCGAGACATTGACACTTTTAAGACCTTCCCATACTGACCAAAATACTCTCGCCGCTGAAGAAGCTAGATAAACGGTGATAAAAACATAAAAATTTGCTTGGAGGAAAACAGATAAAATAAATCCAAGGAAAAAAAGAGAACAAACGTGTGAAATGGCAACATTCAGCATTCAGGTGCTCAAGAGAGTGAAGGAGGAAAAATTTTTACATCTTCATCTGCCAGATTGAGAGGCAATCCAACAATGTAAACAAGGTTCCTCTGAATCACTCGCACACTGCTGAGCTGCTTACGTCCATCAGATGATTTAGACTTTGCTTTCTGAGTCTTCTTTTTCTCCATATTAATTTCATTCACCAATCTACGTGAAAATCAATGTTACGATAAATGCACAAAAAGGGCCAACTTGACCTTGGTATAAATAAATTGAAGCATAACGAGATCAAAGAAACAAAAAAGTTCAGCAACTGATATTTTAATAAATAGTTATACAAATACGTGAATGCATATTAGATGAGTGAAGTTTTCCTATAGAAACAATACAACATTTACAATCCTACAGAAATATGCAGTTAACAAAATAACCTCTCACAGTTTGCAGCCATCCCAACAATCTTTTCCTTATCATAAGGAGAGCGACATGCAGGGCATCGCCCCTCAGTGTCATCCTTCTCAGCCATGTTCATTATGTGGTGCCAGCACCAGACACAGATCTGCAATCAAGGAGAGATGAAAGTGACATATATCATAATGAACATTTGGGATAAAGACACATCATCTGAAAACAAAAACACAGACAGCAGCACCTACATCTGATGTACAAGTCAATTTTCAAAGGACATAGAAATAACATTTTATCAAGGGTAAAATATATATAAAAAGTACGGACGAGTATGAGAAGTAACCTTGAAATTCAGTTAACAAAACAATATAATAGTTATACTCAATCCAAAGATAAATTCCACCAGGTCGAGTTACAGGCTGAATAAAACAAAACTAAAAATTAGAACAGAGGAAGGGAAAGACGAACCATAAACCTTGACAAACATTAAGCTTTGAGATAACCAAAGGAAAAATTAATTAAGTTTCGAAAACACAGTTTTCTTCTGTAACAGATTATATCAAAACCCCTTACATCATTGCCTAATAAGATCATAATTATAGAATCAAACCTCATAGCCGCATTTGCAAGGCTTCAACTGCTGATCTGTCAAATCCATCTCTTCAGCACAGAGAGGACAAGTTCTTTCTCCTTCGTCACTCATGATTGCCCTGAATGAAAATAGGATAAACCACAAATCACTCGTATCAAGTAAGCATAAATATATCATCATAAGCAATAAGCATAAAAAACCTAACCCTGAAAGAAGAGGAAAGCACTCATCCAAAGAACTCAAAAAATATTATTTGAGAAGAAAAGGAACCGAACCACAGCTGTGACAGTGAAAATTATCACCCACCCCTCAATATTGCAAGTTAACAAAGTTCACAGTCTCTTTAGATTGAAAAGCATTCACTTTAGGAATACTGTGACCAACAACACACCAGGGAAAAACAAATAGTGCATTGGAGAAAATGTAAATTTCAACATTAAAAAAATAACAAAAACAGCATGAAGGAATCGATAAACAAATCCAGATAAAATCCTCACACACTCTATTGACTCTAACAACATTTGATTAATCAATAAGCACACCAAATCACTTCAAAATAAAATAAAATAAAATTCAGAGATACATTGAAGTACGGAGAACACGAAACACCACGGATCAACTAAACCGTCAATCAGAACAAAAAGTATCATATAGAAATATATAAAGAAAGATAAAATTAACAATCGAAATCAAATATGCAACGAGAAACGAAAAGAGAGCTTTAAAGAATAAAAAGAGGAAAGGGGAAAAATTGGACGGTGCGAATAGAAAAGCAAACGGTAAATTGAGAAGCGACTAGGGATCTAAGAAAAAGTTGTATTGGATAGCGAAATTAGGGTGAGAAATTGGGAGTCGATGACTCACAGTGGTGAGATCGAGAAGACGAAACTGTGAGGAGGAGATTGTTTGCGAAGACGGAGAAAGAGAGAGAGAGAGAGCGCAAAAGCCAAAAGGGTAAGAGGGGCAGAGAAAAACCACAAGGTGTCTTTTAAATGAGAGAGAAGGCGCTGTTTGGATGATGGCGTTTTCGGTTTTTGGCTCTCTATCTCTATCTCTATGCGCGTCGCTGTCATTTACGCACATAAATAGACTCGGATTTTGAGTTAATTACATGGAATTGCCCCTCTACCTTTTGATTCTCCTCTCTCTGTCTCTCCCTTCTGTTTTGTCGAGCAGCCCAACTGGTTCTAGTGTTTGGGTTCTCTACGGTACACGTATTCCTTGCTCCTCTGCATGTGGTGACCCAGATGTGTGACACGCTCCTGCTCTTTTGATCCGACGAATGTGCTTGCAGACAAGCTTTTGGTCCGGGAAATGTGCATTACTAAGAATTTTCACTTTGTTAGGATAGAATAAGAAACTTGAGCATACCTCTTTTTCGTCTCCATTGTTTTTACGGTAAGCTTATCTTTAAATTAAGTAAAATTGTAATATATATATAATTTTCTGTGACTTTCGACATTAGTCATTTTAATAAATTAGTTTCACATGTTAAGCATTATTTGGAAGTCTTGAAACATTTTTTTTTAATTTTGATTTATATTATAAAATTACACGTATATATAAGAGTTTAATCTTTACTAGACAAGATAATATTATATATTATTTTTTAATAATTATAAAGATAATAACAATAATTAAATTATAATAATTAGAAATTGGAAGAGGAAAGAAAATGCATAACTACCTACAATGAAAGTACGAATATATGCGTGATAGATAAAGACAATTGTTAAGGGTTAGATGTCGCGATAAAGGCAATTAAGATTTAGGTGGCTGATAAAAGGGAAAAAACATCTAATGCACGGTAAAAGTGTATATGTGTCCTAATAAATAAGATTACAATGAGTTTAGGTGTTGCAATAAAAGTTGTTAAGGTTTGAGTGGTCATAATAAAGATAATTAGGATTTAATGTGCATAACAGACTTAAATGTGTGGAAGTCGAGGGATGGAGGCTTTGGTCCTGAGAAATTGAACCATGAGGCCCGAGCTAAAATATAGTTTATCTATCTATTTTTAATCTGTAATGTATGTAAAAAGGGTTTATGTAAAATAATATTATAGAAGTGACAACATATATACATTTTATTTTCCTAAAAAAAAAAATCTCCTTGATGGATCAATCATGATTTTTATTGTTTAATTAAAATTTTAATGTTTTAGAGTATGCTTGAGATGAGAGTTTTGGAAGAAAAAAAATAGAATAACATATTTTTTTTTTATTAAATAATTATATTTAATAAATATATGATTAATATATTAATTGTATGTTAATGTATTAATTTATATTTGTAATTTTAAATAAATATTAGTTTTAAATATTTTTATTTAAAATATAAGCATTAAATTTTCCTTTGACTTAGCATGTCTTACTCATGGTATACTTTTTTTTTTTGGTAAAGACTCAAGGTTACACTAACAAGGTTGAATCTTGCTCAATTTTCCTCATTTTCTTTTCCTTTTTTGACATTTTTCATCTCCATTTCTCCATATTGAAAAACGACTTTAACTTTTTTCTTTTGTTTTTAAACAAAAAATTTTCTTTGAAGGAGAATATTGAACCATCACCTACTTCTATAGTTCCATTATTGCTGAATGCATTTACAGATATGAACTATCACCAAAATCCCATTCAACAGAGCTTGCGATGATTGTAATCACCATCTCCAGCATGAAATAACAATTACTGTATTAAAGAGCTTGATTTACGAGTTCCATTGCTAATAATACCAAGTGATTTTTCTCATAGCTTTTTCTAATACATACTTAATTTTCAGAATTTTTTACACAAATATTATTAAAACAAAAAAAATTACAGAAATAAACCTAGGAAGAAATTATTTACCAGACTAAACCCATTTCCTGTAGCAAAAAATAGAAGTGCAAAGGGGGACTTTTTAACCAAAATAATATATATAAAAAATAAAAATACTAAAATAGACCTGTCCCAAAAATATTTACTAAAGTAGACCGATTTACTGTTTACGTACAGAATTCGTCTTCCAATTTGTGTCTGTACAGTAGATTTCCAAATGGAATTCGGTTTTGGAGCAACCAAATTCTATACATAATTTGTATTTTTGTTTTTGTATATAATAAAAAAATATTATCTAATATTTATGTTTATATAATTATATATTGTCAAATTTAATAATAAAAATAGTTTTAAATAATAAAATAAAATATATTATTTGAATTCTATTTTTATTTTTATATTATATGAAAATAAAATTTATATTATGTTAATTTGTGTGACAAATGCATCTCCTCATTTTGTAAATTACTTTTAATATGTTGCGAGTTCATTTCTGAGAGCGGTCCAATTTTGAATCGCTCTCCAAAGTCGACTTCTGAGAGCGGTTGAAAAAAACTCGCTCTCCAAAGTCGACTTCTAAGAGCGGTTAAATACGAACCGCTCTCCAAAGTCGACTTCTAAGAGCGATCCAATTTGAACCGCTCTCCAAAGTCATTTTAATATGAATTATGAATATTAATATGATAATATTATTTTGAATAATTTTTTTTTTATCTCAATCACCCATTTTAATATTTATTTACCTAACTAATAATATTTATCTCAACATGTTTTTATTTATTTTAATAATATTTAATTAATATATATATTAATATTAAAGTTATTAATAAATTAAATAATAAAATTATATTTAATGAAAATAAAATATTAAATTTTTTAAAAATTAATAAATTAGTTTGTAAAATGATATTAATAAAAATAAAATAATTTGATTTATGATAATATCTTTATTTTTTAATTCATTGTATGCAAAATTAATTAAATAAAATCATTAAGATTATTTTTGTTAGATAATATGAAATGAATTTATAGATAAAAAATTAAATAAAAGAAGATAAACAACAACTAAATGAAACTTTTATAATTAAAATAAAATGAAACAGACATGGAAAGCAGAAAAGAAAATACAAAATACACATTTAATTGGTTAAAAATTAAAAAAGATCTTCTATTGCATATTTTTTCTCTCCATGATGGTCAATATACTTACTGTCATGCCAATCACGAAGTCTTTCTTCAAGTGTTGGGGGTCGTAGGTCTTTTGTTTCTACAAACAATTCAATCTTTGACCAGTTATGTGTACGTTGAATGCTTGAATGAAGTTCAAATATTTTTTTCCATTGTGCGATCATCTATTGCACATCAGAATCATTTTTTATTTCTATGCAATCATAGACGAGTTTTTGGTTGATGACCCGGATCGGTCGTCTATAATTGATTATTGTAATTTGTTTCCCGTCTCCATAATCCAGTACCTCACTTACCTCTTGAAACAATTGATTGAAAGTCCAGCTGTGTTGGATGATCATTCTTATTGGGTGAAGACATTTAAACATAAGGCCATAACCATGTGGACAGTTCATGATGGTGGCATGCTGGATAGGTCCCCCAAAATATATTATAGCTTTGCTAGAAGTGATGAATTGAGGGTTTGATGAAGAGCTTGGGGCTAGAGGGTTTAGAAGCGTCATAATTTGTTCTGTTGATCTTTGATAGATGACATAAATTTCAATGATTAAAGAGACTGGAAAATTAGATTTCTAGGAAAGCATCTGCGCCACATGAACATCAGTTAAAATAGAAAAAGCTTCAAATATAACTAAACCCTCACCACTGTGATTTGGTTTCCGATAGTACAAGTTAGTGAACTGAGTGTTATGATCAATGCCTAAAGCATTACAAATTCTTTGTTTCAGCTCCACGAATGTGCACTCATGTGGGATTGTAAATAATTTTGGAGATAAACACTGAAAGCTCACACCTTTATGATTATGGGTAATCTGGCCATTTGCAAACATAACAGTTAGATGAGAATTTGTGAAATTGTCGATGTTTGTTATATCGAAGTCCTCTATCTAAAGTTTCGGATGTTAATGTTATATTTTGTAATGAATGTGTGGTGTTTGTTAACTACATGATATGTCTTTTATAGACAATTTGTAAAGTAGGTGCTTGAAAAAAAAAAGGATGGTCAGGATCGTTTATAATGTGTTCAATGGTTGAGATTAATTTTATATTTCCTGATATACTATTGAGTGGTCAAATTAAGACATAATGCAACGTGCCATTGTTTTATGAGATTCTTGATAAAAGTGGTCAGTGACTTATCTTATTTCAGATGAGACAGTTGAAGTGAGTAGTTGCTGATAAAGTTGGTCTGAGAACATCGTGTAGTGTGTTATTGTCTTTATCAGATTGTTGGTAAGTGTGATAATTTATGAAAAGGTTTTATGTACAGACATTGACCTTAATAATGGATTTGTTAACGTAAAGTCAATGACAATTTGACACACTGACGCGGTGTCATTGATTCCTGACGTAAAGTTAATGACACTCTGACGCACTGACATAAAACAATTGATTCCTAACACCCTGACGTAAAATCAATGACAATTTGACGCATTGACGCGGTGTCATAGATTCCTGATGTAAAGTTAATGACACTTTGATGCATGGTCCATCATAATAAACAGTATCCCGAACAGTATCCCGAATGAAGAACATGAACACGAATATGACTATTTATAATGGCACATTGAATTCCTCGTCATTCAATGCCATATCACATCTTACGAGTGATTTTGACCTCTCCATGACACCATTTTCTCCTCCCAACCAATAGATAGTGACTAGTCAGTCACGCTCAACATTAGATTCTCTTCTCATTCAAGTCATCTCACATACTTCCAAATGAGCTTTGTCTCCTCCCAACCAATAAAGATGCCTTCTGACATTCACGTAAATTAAATTAGTTTTTTTAAAAAATGACATTATTTAATATTATAATTTTTAATACTTTAATTTTTTTTTGAAAATGACATT